TAGACAGGGAGACCAATCTGTCAAAATTGGAAGTGTCAAAAAAAGTCTGTTGACTGCGGATAACCCAGTTTTGTTGGCATCTTCCAAAAAATAATCATCTCTTTGGAAATGATCACAGTCCAGTACGACGTGGCGACAAGCGTGTAAATGCGTCGAAAACCAAAAGCGTAGTACCTTCTTGTTCCCCTCTCTGCTGCGCTCTGCAGAGAAAAAAAGCATCAATGGAACAGGTGGAGAAATTCACGTACCTCAGTATGGTGTTTACTGATGGAAAATGGGAAGCGATCGATTGGTGAATTGGGATGCCTAACGGCCTTTTGCGAGGACGAGACTGAACCATTGTCACTATGGCAGAGCTGAGTCTGAAGTCTACGCAACCTGCGTTCAAGTCGATTTTGACTCCCATCTTCATCTATGGCGACGATTAGTGGGCCAAGTCTGAAAAATTTCGATCCCGGGAGCTAGCAGCTTTAGTGGTCTTTCTGAGAGAAGTCACTGAGCTCACACGCCTGAAAGGAATCCGGGGTTCAGATAATCGAGTAAGCCTTGGAAACCAATCGCTGCTTCTTCAGACTGAGAAATCGCTGATGTCGTGGCTTGGACACGTTTTGCAATTGCTTCCAAAAAGGCGAAACAGCTACTAGTTGTCCAAATGACAGGCCGCAGACCCAGATAATCTCAGACAAGTGGTTCGAGGGACTCTGCTAAAGACACGGCTTATCTCATGCCGAAGCTCAGGCACTGGCGCAGGATCGGGATGCTGCTGCCTCCGCGACGCGAAAGGATAAACTGCCATCGAAACTGACTGCCTGTTGACCGAATGACTGACAAAATTCCGACGTTTCCGATCGATAGAGATTCATCCTACGGGAACGTTTAATAGCAACAAAGTCGAAAAAAACTGTCAACGATGTCGTTGTACTGTGTAATGATCGTAGGGCTTCCGTACTAACAACCATATGCTCCTTAAATATTTAAATCACCAACCAGTTATTTAAACCATGAGACTATCTCACAGTATACAACGAAATTGTTTTCTAGACCTACTGTTATATAACATCCCCTGAAGATGGATGCAGCACCATCCGAAACGTTGTAGAAATAAAATTTATATCCGAAGTAAAGTTTCTGAATACCTTGGTGATGAACATTTTAAAAACGCATTTTCCTACGTCACATGCATTTGTTAAGTTTCAACTTTAACACGTTAATCTGGACCAATACTTAATCATGGGGTTAAATTTAGGATCGTGCATTCAACAGCGAGAAACTTAATATTCAAATTATCTCGATAATAACCTCCATATGGTTCATAAAAACTAATTAGTAAGCCTATGCGCTGAAAATTCTGTATAAACTATAGCTGATGTCCACAACCCACTAATTTGCGTTTACATTTTGTGAATTCGATAAACGGGACACTAGACAAACAGTTCACTTTGAATTCTGACAAAATAATTAAATACATTAGTTTCTATTCCTGAAGAACCACCTTAGCAAGGCAAGAATGCATGCGTATGTCGGTATCCTGAAAGCATTTATGGCTGAAGCACGAAAACACGGTTTTTAAAGCCATCTATTCCAGAATGGCCGTGAGATAGAGATCAGATCAAAAGCATTCAATCAATGATTGTATTACGGTAAGGTGGATTAATTAACGATCACAAAATGGTTATTCGCGCAATTTGTTAAATAATGAAATTGAACAACAAAAATCAAAGAGATTTGTTGGAAAAACATGCCAAAATCCCCGCTTCCAATCGTACGTGACCTCCAATCAGGTGGCAAGTAACCCTGTCAGTACTCTAATTCTCGGTTTAAAAAATAATGTGAGCTTAAAAGGCGCGTATCTAATCCGTGGAACTTAACTGATTCGCAGAGCACCCAGACACTGAAAAAATTTCCAAAAACTGGAACTCAATCAGAAATGAACAGTGGGCTACGAAGATGAATAACCTTTCAGTGCCCAAAAACAGCGAGAAGAAAAGTTACATCCACTGACGGAGACTATTAAATATGATGCATTATAACATAACAGAACGCTTGTCGCATCTGCACAGGATCAATCGTACGTTCCGTTGGATATGCAGCAAACCTCCCATTCTCAATTATTTCATTTGTGGCGGCAGGTTCTTTTGATTATTAGTTGTTATTATTATAACCGACCGGTTAATTGATTGAAGCGTTGGTAAACCATCACAAAACAGACTGCAAGAAACGTGCATCAAAAAATAAGTTCGATTGCTCACGCTCGTCCTTACCGACTTTCGAGAGGAACCAAAAGTTTCTTCTTTACCGCCGCTTTGACAGCCTGCTGAAGTTTATTTGCTTCTTCCAACTTCCACCCTCTCATAGGTGGCGCCGCAGCATCAATGATATTCATTCTTACCATCTCAATCGAATCTGGATTGCGTGGAGGAAACTACACGAACAACAAATAACAACAATCAATCAAAGACACTACGGTCAGCATCAGTCGGTCATACCATAAGGCGTCGGTCCTTGAAGTACGGTGCCACGTAGCGGTGTATCTGAACTTTATTATTGGTTTTACGGATAGGAGATTTCGAGCAGGCCGCTAATTCTTGTCGAAGAATTGCCTGAAAAGTAAGGCAATGCAGAATCGATTTGGTGGCTTCAAGTAACCCAGTTCAGAACATCGACGAAGCTCAATTAACTTAACTAAAATTAGCTGAGTTCATCAGGTACCAGAAACAGGATTCGGCAGTCAAATAAGATGAGGATCATCGCAATCATTTATAATCCATTTACTGAATTACACGGTCGTAAATGTCGCAAAAGTAAATCTTCGGCTCCAACTGTCTCCATGCCGTGTACTTGCTGCACCAGGGTGACTAGTTATCAGGCTCCTTTTCTGCAACATTTAACGAAACAGTTATGACATTAGTGTTCGATGGCCGGTAATACCAGAGTTTCAAGACTGAACGCACGACTATTTTAAACTTGTCTTGACTAGTGGTGCAATTTGTGCCAACAAGTACTGGTAAGAAAATCCACATGTGGCACGCATTTTAGTCTCAAATTCAATCAGAAGATGCTTAAATAGAAAAAGAAACGTTTTATTAACAATTATAGTGAAAAGAGCTGACTCGTAGAAATGCACCAATTTCCGGTATCATGAAAGAAAGCGATGACTGCATGAAGAACATTGGTTAACGTCGACGAATGGTAAGAATTCACATGACAAAACTAACACAATACAGCAAAGTCACATAATATGAAGATTCATCACTCCGAGACTTTTTAAGTCTCTGGCAAGCTACGGAGAGGCAGGTTAAACCAGAAACAACGCTGAAACAGGATTTATTGAAATTTATTGAATTACTGAATATGATGCGATAAAACATTGCTACAAATCCCTTTACAGGCCTTCAGAACTGATGAATGGGTCCAAAACGTTTTTCACACCGTCCTTCCTTCTCAAAAGCATACGTAAGGAAAAGATAGAGTTAAGACATTCTGACCAATTCATGAGGGAGAACAACGACTACAGGGAAAAATTGGCATAACATAGTTACACAAGAATCGAAGAAATGGTACGAAATCGTGCATCGTGTTGTCAGTCTTCTGAAGAGGAGCGGAGGTATCTTCTTTTACATTTAAACCCTATTTCGTGATGATTTTACGAAACTCCGCACTCCACCATCCTATACTCTGAAGCTACAATCTGTGGTCACGTGACCATTCTTCTTACGACAGACTAAACTCAATCGATACCAGCTGAAATCTTCATTATGCTGAATCCGTTTTCCATCAATCTAACATTTGTATAACGATCACAGGAAGCAAACAAGACTCAAAATAAGAAACAGCATACCAGGGTGAAGAACGGTCCAATATTATCTTTATTAGTAAAAAACAGTAACTGACATTAGCCCCAGGATAGGCGTGCAAAATTGTGATAATCAGCAATCAACAGATCAGGCTATGCCCTCAATAATATGCCTAGAAGCAATACCATGACGTATAAAGCACGAGATAAGTATTTATCCTCTGAAGAAAACATGGGCACTTATGGATAAGACAGAAGAAAGGTCTATGAAACGAATGGAGGACACCAACTGCAAATCTTTTATAATCAAGTCGTAATCCCTCTGAAAATAATAACACTCATTTTTGCAGTACGCTACATTCCAACAAATTATATCGTATGATGCTGTGTTTATAAATAATACGATGTTCATACTGCACCATATAACAGCTCAACCAGTAATTCATGAGGTCAGGTGTATGACGCAACCGTGGTTATGCCAGAAATTCAAAAACTTACTAACTTCCGAAATGTATTAACTGCATCGATTCACAGTTTTTTATGATGTCTCACTTAACGATGTCTAATTGTGTTAGACAACACCCCGCCGGACATATAATTAATACTATCATATTCTGATTTTTGAGAAGTTAAAACTTTGCCCCGGCGCACGAACTCTCCTTTTTAATTAATACCCACGAATGTCCGAGTTGTTATAGATAACCTGAAACACGATAAAACTGCTATTGGAAACATGCGCTGTACCGTTTATTTATCAATTGATATGATTTGCGAAATAATAAAAGAAGAAACGTACAAACTGACTAACTCACTTAAATCGAAAAAAAATACGACGGTTTGCAACCGTTAAACATTTCGTTGTCGCTACACTGCCACGAAGACTACAATCTATCTCGTTCTCCTTGTTTATGGGGCTTACGATGTTGTGTTGTGTTACACTTCAATACAGTCATTTATGAGTGACCTATTTATGAGAGTACTATACAACTGTGTGGCAGTGCACAGTGTGCAGAGTCCCTTCATTCGTAGTGGCACTCATCGGTCAAATTCTACATTTAAAAAGATTATGGGTATCCCGGGCGCGATGCGAACTCATGTTAGTCTGGCCGCCGGCTTGGCACACAACAAACTGAGCTGGCAGATCAGTATTTTCACGCAGAAATGAAAAGCGAGATCAGTAAGGGATCAAATGCCGCAAACGTTTGGTGATCACAAAGGTTATTATACCATTCTCAGCTGCTCATAGGTCATCGACGTGCTACCCTACCATGGCTAGCTGCAGTTAATTACGACAGCTGAATTCACTGATCAGTAAGATTAGCAGCTATCCATAAAAGATATGCCGTGCCTAGATTTTAATCCACATTTCTGGTCCTCTGAGCTGAACGACTTTTCACTGCGCCATTGCACATGAGGAAGAATTCATCTTATCTGATGAAAACCATGATCAACATGAATTTTATTAGCGATTACCATGATGCTAACAAATGTTTCTCACAGCATTCAGCATTGACGGTTGTCACTGTAACGCGAATTCACCAAGGTATGCAAGCCCGCAACGGAATCGAACTAAGAAATGTAAAGCAAAAAAAATGCATACGCGTCGTTCCCGAGTCTGCATCAACAGCAATTCCAGTCGATTCAGGTACTGCAGTATCAGATGCTGGTACGCTTGGTTGAACGCAAT